TTTTTGAAATTGTTAAAGCTGATACTTCTTTCAGGATTATTGTATAAGATTGCTTTCCAAGCTTTCTGCATGTTGCATTTCTGTGTGTAGTGAATCACTTCCATTGAAAGGTTTACATAATGCATGAAAGGATTATGACTATATCAACACAAACTGCTACACCACTATTGATAGTTCAGAAGCAAAAAGACACTTTTATTATTATTGAAATAGACATTCATTAGGAAACAAGTTGGTGGTAGTTTCTAAGTTGACTGATTTCAAGACAGCCTGTGGCTATCGCTTTCCATCTGCTTAGTGCAGAGAAAGACTATAGAATAGAGCTTCCCTTTTGGAAACTTAAAATAGCTATAATGCTTCTTGTTTCGGTGCAATCCTCTTTTAAAATCATATTTAACTTAGTTCTTCCTAGGAATTTATTTTGTCCAATATTTTTAACCAAGACCTCCTATAACACTATGAAAATGATTATGTACCATCAAGTTGTTTTCAACTCATAGCAACCACATAGATTTTCTCTATGGCAATCTGTCTGTAACAGGTTCTTTCAAGTCTCCCAATGGTGCCTTCATTGCCATTGGAAGACTTATGCACCTTGCTGCTGGTTGTATTCTTCTGCTAAGTCTTCTCGTAATGTATCTGCAGAAGGATAATTTGAGCCTGGTCATTTGTGCCGAGTGAGAACTGTGGGTTGATTTGTTCAATGAAACATCAGATTGTTTTTTGGGTGTCCGCAGTATTCTCAGGAGTCTCTGTCTGCCTGTCTATAATATATAGATAGCCCTCATTTAGGGACCATTCATAGTTCCATTGTAACTTGTTAGGATGGCACTCACATCCTCACATTTATGACCTTTGCAGGTCTGTAAAGCAAAGTAAGTAAGTAGAAAGAAAGATCATAAGTACAGTCACGGTTTTGTTTAGTGACAGCTTTGCTTAATTGTCGCTAAATGAGGACTACCATTACTTGAAGGTTAATGTGTTATGTTTATGTTGAGTTTTCTAATTTTGTAAAAAATTTGGACAGTAGTTCTATTTGCTGGTTTGTTTCAGGCAGAAAAATGACAGGAGTCTGCTATCTTTGTAAATGTAACAAAACATTCCCAATATTACTTTCATTTCCCAAAAACTAAAAATAAAGTGTTTGCTATGCATGAGATATTTATAATGTATTGTAAAGTACAGCAGTTTTATAACCCCTGGAGCAGACAGTAAGTTTCATTTTTGAAGCATGCGGCATACGTATGTGTATATGTAATAGGTATTTTAATGCATCTGTCTTTTAGTTGTGTATAAAATTGCTAATTCCTGGTTCCATTTGTGTATATTTTCTAGAATTGGGTGGCTTTTAATTAAGGTTTTAAAAAAACTGTAGGGAAAATATACTTCGAGTATTGATTATTTTGAGTTATTTCTACCCCGCCAAGCTGTCTGAATAATGATGAATTGTGCAGGTAGTGATCATTAATGCAGTTGATGTCTTCATAAATCAGTAGCATCAGCTAAAATGTCCCACTTCTAATGATTAATTGCTTTGTCAGTGCAGGGATTAGCTAGAGAGTCACCTTGGAGCCATGACCTCTGTCCTCTTCACTCTGTAACAGTAAATTTAAGCCTAGGAATACCATTGTACTGAGACTTTGATTTGATGGTTTTGAAAAATACAGTGTACTTAGCTCTTGGCCTGAACCAAATCTATAGGGAATATGTACTAGTTCAGATAGCTGGAGTCCCAAACAGTGGAAATTGTAATACTTAACTTTATTTTCATTCTTATTAAACAAGAGTAACTATAAGAAGATTGATTCATTAGAATAGTGCAGGAGTAACATAGTTTAACTCTGAATATGACTCTTCCTTTGTAATTTTCTTATGAGTTTTGGAACAGCAATAGCCCAAATCAGTCCATTGTAGAATAAAGGCCTTTTCAGAATTTTATAATTACTTCAACATACTGCAAGTTGTTCTCTATTAATATCTTTCAACTGAGATATTATCATTTGCCAGCATTTCTTTGGGCATTTTGGGTGTTTTAAAGTCGTGTGATATTCAGACGAGGGTTGTTGTTACCCGGTTTTAGTTAGTTCCTTGTACAGTGTAGCCAGCTCATGGCTATTTCAGAGATGCTAGCTGCTTCCTCAAATCCTATATTCCTGTCCACTGGCCAATCCATTTATTTCTTTTTTTGTCATGTTGATATCTTAAACATATTTTGCGCATTTATCATTCTAGGTTTCTCTGTGTAACTATTTTTGCATTTATGAATAAAATATGTGCAATTGTCTTAAAGCTTATGTGCATGGAAAGTAAAATGATCTATTTTATTTCTGTTATAATAATAGTTGATACCATGGGAACAGATTAACTTTGTGTTTTTTAAAAAAATAGTAATGTGCATATAGTTTCCTATTTAATTTCTTATGAAGTGGCAACATAGGAATAGTAAATTTAGAGAGTAATGTTTGTAATGTATTCTTTTCAGAAAAGAAGATTCAAAGTACATTCAAGTACATTCACAGTTTTAGCTATGCTTTGATTTTTTTTAAGGATAGTAAAGAATGAGATCTGCATACCTATATACTGAGCAATTATAAGCACTAAAATACTTTTATTCATAAATATATTTTAGTCATAAATGCAAAATTTTAAAAATCCTAAATGCTTCCATTTTATTACATTAAAAATAGTATTATGCTTACATATTGCCAACTATTTGATTTCCATATTTTTGTTTGTTTGTTTGTTTTGGAGCCATCAGTATGCCTTCCTGGACCCAATATGAAGTGGTGAGTATTGCTGTTACTATATAAAGAGAGCAAGAATTGTGATTTGGATTAATAAATGCATTTGAAAAGTTCAGTACATATTTCTGGAAGATTTAAATTACACGAATGCTTGCTTGTTTTATTTTTTTCCCCTTTGAAATAAACAAATATATTTGCAAATCCGTACTAAAATGGGAAATATTTTGATACATTTTTTATTTATGGGATACATTTTTTATCGCTGGCACAGTGATGATTTTCTTTGCCGTTTACCCATCTGAATATATGATGTGTATTTCCAATTCTGAGATGCCAGTAAAACTTTAATTATACCATGTAAAATATTTGCTTAGAACATTTAGATACTGTATATTAAGATGTCTTTCTAAAGTGATTTAATTGGCATATTTCCTCAAATAATCATGAACAGCATTTGAGAGTTTTATATTTAAAAACTACCGTACTTATTAGTTTGAAATGATTGCAAATGTCACATGAATTTAAGAACTTGGGTAGGGTTTTTTGTAAAAAAATGCAAATCTGATTAAAAGTTAAAATGAGTGAACTATTTAGATGACTAGAGTAATTGCATCTTGAATGCTAAATGATGGTGGCCAAAATGATTGAAAATTTGTATTAAAAATATTTTATTACAACATTGAACTTAAATGTGTTTAATTTTAATTTAAGTTTAATAAAAACACTTGTGGTTAACACTTGATGGTTATCTTTCCTGAAAATTCTAAAGATTTGCAAACTTGAAAATAGTTTTGTCTAATTTGAAAACAAAAATGACCCACTTTTGAAAACAAGTAATGAACCACTTTTATTTAATATATTATCTTAATATAAGAATGCGATTTGCTGCTATTTAATGTGATAAACTGATCTTCCTATTTCTCTGCAGGTTATGACAAGACAAATGGGGAGTGATCATTTTCCAGTATGAAATAAATTTTGAACAAATATTTTAGTTTGATGTTGATGTACTTGTAAAGTATGTTTTTCATCATATTTTTTTCTCAAGATTTCCTGGAAAGAATAACTTTTTTTTCAGTTAGCTTGTTTGAAAACTTTCAGAATTTTTCTTGTTTCTGCATGAAGATTGGGTGAGGAAGGCAGACTTGCCATGATAGATAACATGGTTCTATAAAGACTATTTTCCTACATTTTTGTAAAATCCAATCTGGCAACCATGCTTGACTTGTGTATGTGTATATCTTTGTTTTTAATGTTATTGTAAACCTTAGCACTGAATCAAATCTAAGTCTTTGCTGATGAACTGTCATTTATTTATACCATGTAGGAGAGTGAATATCAGCCTGTATATTTTTGAATCCCATTAAATTTTCATTTCTTGTTTTATATTATAGAATGTGATACTGATTTTTTTGGGTGAAAGTAAAATCCTGTGTGAGGAATTTGAATGCAATTTCATTAACAGAAAACAGAAAATTTGATGAAGCAACTAAAACAAATGTACCTATTTTACTATGCTTGTTACAACATCCAAAATAAGAAAAATCCAATATGGTATAGGAAAAAACTACTATTGTACAACAAGAATAAAATGTTAGCTTTAGCTGAAATGCAAGACTTTAAAAAAAGGCTTATGTTTGAAACGTGACCAGTCATTATAGCATTAATGTATTCCATTATATAACTTGGAAGCGCAACGATAGGCTGGATGAATTAATTTTCCTGAGAATTGGATTCAATATTGTGTATTGCTAAATCTCACTGCTGAGAATATGTGTCACAGGCCCATATGTAGCAATGAACTGTTTCAATTGTTGGTGGTATTCCATCAAGTAAATATCCCTTTGATTCAGGGAGTTCTCAGAATTGAGTTCAAATGGAAAAAGTGCATTAGGAGCCACACAAAATACAGAAGCACCTGTGTAAAGAAAATTAATTTTTAAATTAATTAAAAATTTAAAATCACAAGTTTGTCTAGGAATTTGTTTTTGAGCATAAATTTGCAAAAGCAAATTATAAAATTATTTGAAAAGTTGCTATAGTTAAATATTCTTTCATATATGAAATATAATGCAAAATAAGCCTTTTAGAAATATGTCTTTCTATTAATCTTTAAAATTATCTACATACTCTACCCTAATATCAATCTATGTAATAGATCAATTCAGGCAGCTAATAAGGTCCAAACTATCTGATCTGCTAACTATTGCTTAGAAGAGAGGATACCAGGGAGAGAAGTAGTGACATCCCCTCTTGGGTTGGGATTATCCCCTAGGGAATGTTTTTCATCAGAAAAAAGGTTCCAAATCATGCCTTAAAGAAACATTATTTAAAAAGCTGTAATATGGATTACATAGTACCTGGAAATGGAAATTTATTCTAACCGCTGAATGAAAGTTATCCTAATGCTTGATGATTCAAATTTTTGCATTTGCTCAATTTCCTATGTCATTAATTTGGAAAGTGATTACTTATATAACTATACTTAATAATATGAACATTTATTTACTTTCCACCTCAAGAATAGGAACTCAATAGCTATTCAAATGCTGAAATATTACAGGTTTCATTAAGTTGAACCAGAAAGGTTAATTGTTTAGCAATCTCCCACCCCTAAAAAAAACCCCCACACATAACAAGCAATTTTGAATCAATTATGAAAATTGAAACATGTACTACCAGAAGGTAAATAGTAAAATATCTCCTATTACTTTTCAATAACATTATTTCAGCCTATTGGTAAGAGGAAAGAGAACAGAAATCTCATTAGCATTGCCTGCTATTTGGGATCTTTGGCCTTGTGTGTTCAACTACATGTATGAAGTCTCCTGTTGAGGATCTTGTGTGATCTAATTTGGACTTATGAGCAATTACTTGGCTTAATTTTTTTTACCATATTTTAAAGTAAGAGATGATTCAAATAATAACACTGCAATTAAAACATCTTGTTCGAGTACTTTTGTCCTTAGTCTCAGCTTAGCATGTGCTTTAGACAGCGAAATCCTACAAACAAAAATATAACTTTTAAATGCATTGTACAACATTTCAGATGATTAATTTTCTCATTGAAAATCTTGCTTTTATGATCCTCTTCCAACATGTACCTAAATACATATAGCTATTATTTCATATCTCCCTCCCTCCCTCCATATATATTGGAATATTGTACTGAATATTACCATTGTTAAACAAAAACAATGTTTATAAGCTGATTTCCATATTTAATATGTCTAAAAAAGTGGCCTTTTTTAAGGTAATCTTGATCCTTTTAGGAAATTATGGATAGGAAAAATCCAGGCGTCTACTCTGATCACTAGCAGAACATCTTGCAGTAAAAATTACTCATTTGCTTGGACTTACATACCCAATGGGCAGAATCTAAACAACTACTAGGGAAAAACGGCTAACAATGCTATCTGAGAAGACAGTGACTATGTGGATCCTCAAAAGTGACAGTCTTCCAGAAAAGAGCTATACCCGCTATTGGCTTATATATGTGCTGCCAGGGAAGGAGAGGGAGCTAGGTCCTGGTGGATGTGAATAGCTCATTGCAGAAGGGGAAAATGCCAATATCTCTGAAGAAGGCATTGGTAGTAATTATTATTATGTGATACATTTGATAATTTTGAATTACTGCAATGTATCCTATCGTATGTTTTACTGTAAGCCTCTTAAAACCTGCATGATTAAAGTAGCATAGAAAAATTACTAATACATTAGAATTCAAATTTAGATTATGCTTAAAATCCTTTTTCACTATCTCTTTATATTATTTTACAAAACGTATATAAAAGCTCAGATTTGTATAGTATTAATAAAAATATGTACAGTTGACTCAAGTCAGTCTTATCAAGAAAGCTACTCTTATGAAAAGATCATTCCCATAGTCGATATCACATAAAGGTACGTAGGTATATATGGAAGCAGAAGATTTAGCTTAGCACTCAGTTACAAGTAATCCTCAACTTACAGCAGTTCATTTAGTGGAAAAAGTGATTTATGACCATTTTTGACAACCTTTGTAGCAGCCCCATGATCATATGATCAAAATTCAGATGCTTGGCAATTAGTTCATACTTATGACCGTTGCTGTGTCCCAGAGTTATGGGATCACCTTTTGCAACTTTCTGACAAGCAAAGTCAGTAGGGAAATTCACTTAACAACAACTATGTTACTAACCTACCAACTGCAGTGATTCAGTATTTACTTTGCAGGTGTCAACTTACAAGATTTTTAGTGAAGTTGCTGAGAGATTAGGTCCATTCATGAGTTGTGATCTGACTCTTCGACTTGCTAGATAGTAGCCATGAATTAATCTTTCTGCTTCTGGACATAATTCTACATGCAAATTCTTTGAAAAAGCAAGAAACTGAAATGACAGTATAAATTATAATACTTAATGAAAAAGCACCCATATATTTAATGTATATTTAATAATTAAAGTATTAATATTTTAATAAAATGTTTTAATTAAAAAGTTGTTTCTCTTTAGTTATAATTTCTAAAACTACTTACTTCCTCATAATCTTGGGTTTGAAATTGTTGGGCGATAGAATAAATCTCTTCTGAATTAATAGATTTTTTTAAAATGAAATTCGTAACAGGAAATGGAGAATGACAACATGATGCTTCATTGCAGTATATCAACAGTCCAAATGCATCTATAAGAGTAGCTGAAATCAAGCTTAAGTCCTAATTTTAAAAAGTAATTTAGAATAGAATTTTAACATTTTAAAAATATTTAAAAATAAAGATTCTAAAAATGCAAGGCTCAAATGTTTTTTAAAAAAGGTTGGGAAGGGAGCATTCAGAATAACACTTGGTGCACTTATATTTCCTATGGCAGTAATTTCTTGGATACTATTTATGCTGTTATACTATGAATTTTATCTAATTTGTTTATAGTATTTGCATGATACCAAGTGTTACAGAATGATGAAAATATTTATTGACTGGGAAAATTAACATGTTTTAGAAAATTACTGCTAAATTGGTATTTTCTCTACAGCGCCTTTCTGAAAGATATTACTGTTCCTAATCAATATTGTGCAGTTACTGTTCTAAGTATAGACTCACCAACTGACCAATTACAGTATTATCCAGTTGTATATGCTTTTTTGAAGATGAATCCACATCAATAAATGACCAGAAACTTGTTTGAATTGGAAAAATAACTTGCTGATCAGTAGTTTCTCCATATTTCTTTCCTGGAATGAATTTAGTAATTGTCCTGCTCTCTAGTGCTAATTAAAACAGCGAGAAGAAAAATGCTACTTAAAATATGGTGGTTTATATAATTTACTTTACCATATGTATTAAATCATTGCTTTTAAAGGAACTTGGATATGAATTGCATATTTTCCAATTATAGAAATGCTCTTTCTATAATGCTCCTCTCTTTCAAAAGTATAACCCAAAAGGTTTATATGGATTGGATCCAGACTGTCTCTTGATGAATAGAAGAATTCATTCTATTTACTAAACAAACCAACATTGAATAGAGGGCTTCTGTTGAAGAAAGTCGGTATTTTGCATTCTATTTCAGATAATTCAGCAGACATTTAAGGGATTATTTTGGTAGTGAAAATAGCAATCTCTACAAGTGAAAATCATCTTAAACTGGTCTGCTGGAACTGCCAGAATCTAGAGAAAACAAGATTAGTTTAAACTTCCTTTTGAACTACTATATATGTAGTTTTATTTGTATATTTATGTATCAGACCATGGAGCTTGCCATTTTTCTGTGACCTTCACCAATGTATTTCATTATGGTTAACAGTATTTTGCAATACTATTAAATTAGGATATAGCACAATAAAAAAATCACAATACGCACATATTCTTCATGCAATAAATCTCAAGGTCAATTCTTGGTTTTAAAATAAAAACAAATAAATAATATGAAAGAACTCTGCCTCATACCCTGAAGACCTTGTCAGCCAGACATGCAGTAGCAATTTTAGGTGCTATGGTGATCCAACATGAAAACCTAGTCACAGTCTCCAGTTGTCTGAGATCTCACAAAAATCACTAAATCGTGAGATTTCAGTGATTTGAGTTTGAGATATTCTGCATGTTTTATATGGGCCATTACCAGTATTGTTTCCAGGATATACAGACATCCGAGTATCTGAAGATATCAGGTACCAGACTGAAAAATTGGTATAAAGCAGATTACTATATTTTTAAGAGTGCTCCAGGAAGGCATTCTTAGGTCTATGAAGACTTATGTATATATCCATTCTTGAAACTGTCAACCAGAATATAATGAAATGAACATACAGCATCATATTCCTAAGGAAATTTTACATACAGCTTTGTAATAGAAAATTATTGATTGCACAGCATTAAAATTGACTGGTATGGAAATATCTCTGGTGATAAAAAATAATTTATCTGGGATTTCAAAGCTGTAAGGCAATCTAGCAGAAATATTTAAAGTTATCCTTGGTCTTACAAATACTTGCTAACTGCCGTACCTGCTTGTAGTTGTTCAAGTTTCTCTTTCTTATATGAAGTCAGCTCTCCAATGAAGCATATTCCATTTTTAGCCATTAAAGCACTACCAGCCTGAATAATAGCAGTTCCGGTCCCATGTTTATCTTTTGATACAGTTGGAAAAACTTCACTGGATGAAAAGTGCCGAATCCCTCGGGGCACAAGACATATACTATAATTCATAATTCTAGATGATTGAGGAAAATAGATAATTCACTAATGAATTTGCAGTATTTTAGGTAAATAAATTTAAAGATATATTTCACCATGGCATTGAATTTCAGTTGAATAAATATGCAGAAAAAGGGGTTATATGTGTAATTCAGATTATTGCAACATCAGTTATTGATGATACAATAAAAACAGCATAGGTTGCTAAATTAAACTTCAAGTGTGTGTGTGTGCGTGCTTTCCTACTGGGGAAAGCTAATAACAACAACAACCTCTCCATTAAGAGAAAGAATAATTACCTCTCCAGTATAAGAGAATCATTTGTTATTACCAGAAGATCTAAGTAGTCTGCTGTTTTGTCATCTCCATCAATAGTTTGTACTAAGCTCAACAATATAGCCAATTTCAGAGTATTATAAATGCCCGATGGAAGAACTTTTGAAGCAAAGCTTTCAGCCAGAAGCGCTGTAAATTTCCAACATGAATTTGAAGTCAAAGAAAGCAGGTACTTAAATTTTTCACTGATACAAGAAGGCCCTGATGCAAAAACAAAAACAAGATATATACTTTAACATCTACAAGGATGAAATTCGGAGGTTGGTAAAGGTAGATATAAGTGAAAGTGCTGATACCAGCAGAACAAAACTCTGGATTCAATTCATTGTACATACATCAGGAAATAATATAAACAAATAGTACTAAAGGAAAATCAGGTTCCAAAATTCTAGTTCAAAAGGGAGATAAATTCTTGAACTCTAGTAAGAAAACGAGTGGATCTGAAAGAAAAAAAAGCAGAAAAAAGATTTAGGCATAATTGCCTATTTGTTTTTGAAGATAATATTAGGAATAGGGATACTTGGTTCTGAAACTAAAGTTCATGTTAACAATACCTCTTCCAGTCCAAAACAAGAAACCAATATTAATGTTATTTAGTCATAATTTTTTATTCTTTCCAATCCATGTGCCATGAAATCAATGTCAACTTTTAGCTGACCCAGAGGAGAATTATTACTAAAGAGATGAAAAGAATTCTAGAAGCCATGCTCTGCATGCTTTCTCTACCTTGTTATTCTTTCTCAGGAACTTTTGGCTCCTGAGCTCACCAGGGATTACTCTCCCTGCCTCTCTTATAGAGATTGAATGTCCTGAAAATGAAAATAAATTTTCACAACAAATCTATTAAATAAAGCAGTAATTCTCAAACCTTTTGATCTTAGTGCCTGTCTTAAAAATAGACCCCAAAAAGGTGGGTTATATCTATCAGTATTTACTGTATTAGAAATTAAAACAAGACATTTTAAAATATTTATATATTTGTCTTATGTTCCCCCCGAAAGGGACTCAGGGACTCTCAGAAGTTCCTAGATCACATTTTGAGAAATGCTGAAGTAGAAAAAGATTGGGATGAAAAGAAAGAGACAATTGCATTTCAGTCACCTATTATATTTTATTGTCTGCTTTCACTGGCCTTTTTTCCTACCTGTAAAATTAGAAGGATATATGTTGTTAGCTTCAAGACAAATTGTGGCTTGTAAGCAGCTTTGCATATAGACTGGAATTCCTATAACTTTATATTGATTTCCCATTTTCATTTTATTGGCTAATTCATCTGGGAAAAATACAAATAAGCAGGTGACGATTTTCTATTGGGCAGAATAATTCTAGGGATTCATACTCATATCCCTCCAACAATGTAAAGATATCTTAAGAATCATTTTTAAAATAAATATTTTATTTCCAAAGTTAAAATATAAATTCAACAGGAAAAAAGAAACAACAATCAAAGCAAAAATTAAGACAAAAAAGTGCAAAAAAAGCAATATACACTTATACGGTATTGTCTCTTTTAGTTGAATACTGATAGATATATTTCAACAATGGTAGTACAAATATAGTACAAAGAAGATATGCTTAAGATACAGAAGGATCTTGACAGACTTGAACATTGGGAGCTATCTAATAAAATTAAATTCAATGGTGAAAAAAGTAAGGTTCTACATTTAGGCAAAAAAACCCAAATGCACAGGTATAGTATAAATGGTACCTTGCTCAGTAGTAGTAACTGAGAGGATCTTGGAGTCCTAGTGGACAATCACTTAAATATGAGCCAGCAGTGTGCTGCAGCTGCCAAAAAGGCCAACACAGTGCTAGGCTGCATTAACAGAGAGATTGAATCAAGATCACGTGAAGTGTTAATACCACTTTACAATGGCTTGGTAAGGCCACACTTGGAATACTGCATCCAGTTTTAGTCACCACGATGTAAAAAAAATGTTGAGACTCTAGAAAGAGTACAGAGAAGAGCAACAAAGATGATTAGGGGACTGGAGGCTAAAGCATAAGGAACATTTGCTGGAATTGGGTATGTCTAGTTTAATGAAGAGAAGGACGAGCGGGGACATGATGGCAGTGTTCCAATATTTCAGGGGTTGTCACAAAGAAGAGGGAGTCAAGCTATTCTTCAAAGCACCTGACAACAAGAGAAGAAGCAATGGAGGGAAACTAACCAAAGAGAGAAGCAACCTAGAACTAAGGAGAAATTTCCTGACAGTTAGAACAATTAACCAGTGGAACAACCTGCCTCCAGAAGCTGTGAATGCTCCAACACTGGAAGTTTTTAAAAAGAGACTGGACAGCCATTTGTCTGAAATGGTATAGGGTTTCCTGCCTGAGCAGCGGGTTGGACTAGATGACCTCCAAGGTCCCTTCCAACTTTATTTATTATTCTTATTATATTACAAATCTACAGTGTCTTGATGATGAGGCTGGCAATGATGAAGCTGGCAAGTACTTTTTGACCATTTTTTGAACACTCATCCTTCCCATTGGTCATTAGGTAGTCACCTATATAGCCATTTTGGCTTGAATAATGAGACACTAAATGTGACTTTCATGATTCTTTTTGTTTTGAATAGGAATATTGATCTTTTGGAATATTAACAATTATTGTAATATTGGTAACATCTAAGTTTTTAAAAATAGGACTGTCCATCTTCCGGCCTCTCACTGAGCCTAGACCTCTACATTCAGGTTGGCTTGTGCTACAGAATTCCTATAACTTGTGCATAATAGTCCTAATCAACTGGACTTTAATGTTTGCCCTAGGACAGAGCGTAGGCAACCTTGGCTCTTTTATGACTCGTGGACTTCAGCTCCCAGAATTCCTGAGCCAGCATAGCCAGCATAGCCAAGGTTGCCTACCCCTACCCTAGGACAACTGATCTCCCATAGCTGATTTCTTCCATTGTTCTATAATCCTAAGGCAACTCTCGCACCTTTCCAACTGACAGATTCAGTTTGTGTGTGATTTAAACACAACATTGTTGGCTCCCAGCAGATAGTCCTATTCCCCCACCCTCAGAAAAATCTGGGTTACAGGTGTATTAGGCAGAAGGTAATTGTCCAGTTTCTCTTGTACCACAAAAGAATGCCTATATCAGTGATGGCAAACCTATGGCACGGGTGCCAGAGGCGGCACTCAGAGCCCTCTCTGTGGGCACACACGCCGTCGCCCCAGTCCTGGGCCTTCAGCTGGGTTTTATAAAACCTTTTCGCTTTAGGCCTCCGCCACCGTGTGCAAAAAAAAAAGGTTCAATCAATTAGTCAATTTCAACTTCCCGCGGGAAAAAAAGATCTTGCAAAGTTGGAATTGATTGATTGAACTTTTTAGTTCAACTTTTTAGTTGGGTGGGCGTGGCTGTTACCATCGCAGCCATGCCCACCCAATGGGCCACACCCACCTAATGGCCACACCCACACAATGGGCCACACCCACACAACTGGCCACACCCACACAATGGGCCACACCCGCCCGGCACCCGTTGATGCATAAGTGGGTTTTGGGTTGCAGTTTGGGCACTCGGTCTCTAAAAGGTTCGCCATCACTGGCCTATATGTTGTTAGTCTCCCAGCCCTGCTCTGTTACATGTTACAAAAAGTAATTGGTGACCAGGATGGAAAAGAAAGCCCAAGAGTACATCAGTTGCTATCCTGAGATTTTTCTGCATGAACTCTGCGAGCAGAACACCATATTTTGGTATCACTGCTAAAGCACAGTAAAATTCAGTTGAGGGACAGTACAATTTATGTTAACTTTTCTTCCAATTCAACAGCAGAAGTAATACACAATAACAGCCATGAGGAAGTACACTAAGTCAGGATACTTGAGATTCATGGCTCAATATTTACCACTTTCTAAACTTGGGGGCTTGTGCAAGCTAGGATGGAGAGGAGAAGAAGGTTTTTGGTAAAGCTTTTAGTCTTGAGATTAATAGAAGACATTCTTAAAACAGGTCTAAACAGATGTGATTTAAACACAAATTGTGCCAAGAAAATTAAATTTGTTTCCATAGGTTAACATTTTCAGCTTTGTGCCACATATACTTTTACAATGGTGACGTGGACAGTTTAGTGTGCATACAAATATGAATCAACTTTTTTCATATTATTCTTTTAAAAATATTTTTGAACAAGCTGCTTTTTAAATAACACAATCACTGATCAGGAATTACAGATTTTGTTTGTTTTATTTAGCTAAGGGAAGATTGTGTAATTAAATATATAAATAGGGAATTAAATTCTGTTAAGAAAAAATATGCAATTGGATCGTGAAAACAAGAAATGGCAAAGAAAAACAGCTAACTTAAGAAAGAATATTAAAATGTTAATTACCATAGAGCAATTTTGTCATAAGAAATGAAAAAGAGAAGTCAAATCCCAGCAAGACAAGATACTGCTGCAGTAGTTAAAGTAGCTGTCTTTATTTAATTGAAGTCTTGTATTTTATTTTTATTACTTCCTCTTCATTAATGTCTTATACAAAAATTGAATCTAAAATAATCACGTCATAACGTTTATATTTTATTTCCAAGACAAATACACTAAGAAAATAGAATGTTTTTCCTCCTTCTAATCAAATCCTTGTTGAATATTTTCAAAAGTAAAACATATAATTATGCCTCACCTTTCATTCATATAATAATTTTAAAGTATATAATTATAATTGATACAAGAAGTATTTTTCCTAGGAATTTAACAAATAACATAGTTGAAACCAAATGTTTAAAATTTTTTGCAGGGTTTAAATTCAGATTTCTGACCTGTAAATTGCACCCTATCATGCAAATGTGAAGAATTCTGGAAAACAGTAAGGATAGTCTAAATGTATTTTCTGAAAGGAAATTATGCTGAAATGCTATAGTCTTTCCATCATAACAGCAGAATTTCATAGGGATATTTCAGTTCATCCAAGGAAGGAGTTGGTGACTGGGTGGGAAGTGGGAAACATTTAGGAGCATAGGTATAGCACAGATGGATAAAAAAAAGAGGATTATCTTTGAGTCTTTGGACTGGATGCATTATAAATGGATATGCTTGTAAAATATTTGGAAATATAATGTTTCTGTTATGTATATATGTATCTTCTACTGGTTATTTTGGAAGGCTTTGCCCTGAAAAACAATGCAAATGCTTAAAGCCAAAAAAGAAACATATGTCTTACCTCTTAGAAGCACTGTAAATGATTGAAATCTGAAATGTGTTTTATTTCCGGAAAATCCCTGTAATACACTAACTGCTTTAGAGTCAATCATTTCAACCACTTGTTTATCTTAAAAAGGGAAAAAACATATAACACACAATACAACCTTTTGTTTCAGATAAATCTATTTGCTGAATTGGGCCTAAACAAAGTTTAATCAATGATTTATTTTTAAAAAAATTCCACTTGTATCTATCTTACTGATGTACACACACTTTGCCATTCATGTACTTTTCTAAACCTAGTTCACATCTGTGTGCCCTCCTTTTTCTCTATGGTTGTCCAGTAGCTGTTCCCCTTATATAGCATGGATCCCTTTAAATTGTACCATGTTGAATTAATAGCAGAGCTATTTAATTTTTACCACCAAGTACTCGATATTTCTTGTCTTCTTTCAGTGGTGACATACATAAGCTGCATGCAAAATCATTTCTTAGTGTTGCAGATTCTGTAGCTCCGGCAGTATGTACTCTTATATACTGAAACCCTAGAATCATACAAAAGGGTTTTCTAAAAATTCAGAAGAAGCTAATAGTTTTCATTGTTTTTTATCAGAAAACTGCTCAAAATCTATGCACTTTAACAGGATATTTCCATACCATGCTAAAAACATAACATCCCTTTTATATCCCTTATAACCCCAGCCAGATGTTTCTCTATTACAATATCTTTATATAGTTGCCTCTGTTGGCTACAATGTGTGTTTTATGCTCCACCAAAGTTAAATTAGTAGAAACAGCAAGCACTTTATCATTTTTGAACTTTATATGTGGAATTCACTGCTGATGATTCTGAATACACCTAACCCAGTATAATGAATTATATATTGTGAGTCATATACTAAATGATATGCTCAATACAATTGACAGAGGAATCAATCTGTGACATTCTAGACATTGCTTTTCTATAATTACCAGCATCCCTAGGAAGCATGGCCAAAGGTGCAGTATCCTGGGAAGGGTAGTTCAACAACACCTGAATGCCATTAGGGTGCCTATTTTGCCCAAAGTTTCACTGAGAGACATATATGGATAAATGCACATGCAAGAAATGCAAATAATTGAGATACCCAATTACTTTCATTGCCAAAACTATATTGGAATTTCTATCCCATTCCTTGTCATTCCCTTCCCAGTCATTCAGAAATTATTTATAAATGTGTATATACCTTTGGTTATTGTAAGCCAAAAGGTGCTTGATCCACATGAGAAATTAAGACAACATAAATTGACAACAGGCACTGCTCCAGCTCTTTAATCCAATTGAAATTAGGAAGCACTTTTTCAACTTTCAAAAATAAGTTTGTTTCAGAGGAGAGTTGTAACTACACAGTTATTCATTGAACCCTACATTGTGGGTAGATCCAGTAGAAATACAGGCAAGTTTTGATGTCACACGTAAATATTTCTCCCCAAACACATCTAGCTTTTAAAAACATCTTGGTTCTGATTGTTTGATATAAGAAATCATGCTGAACTTGTTAAAATTTGTAGTTCAACTGATTTAGAATCTACTGTATTTTAAAAAAGGAGTTTTGTATTAGGATGAATATTGAAGAAAATAATTCTTTCTGCTTCCTCCTGCTTTCTATTATTTGCTATAGGAAAATAATCTTGACTAACATATGAATCCACATGGGAAATGAAATATAGTATCTAAAACAAAGTTACAGACTTTAAAGTTGGGCTTAAAAATGAAAGAATTTGAGTTCAAGCTTACTAGTATACCTTCAGAAAACTGACATGTCTCTTCAGAACAAACAAATCTTGCTCCCTGTGTGTACTTTGTTATGATACTCATTGCAACCACTATTCCCTCTGCCACATAAAACCTCTGAGTAGTATAATCAAATGGAAATTTGCAAAGACTGAGAATGTAACAGGGCAAGGAAGGTAAATGTGTTAGTTTCAGAATTATGTTCATCTAGAAGAGAATAAAAAAATGATTGAGCTGATTACAAATAGGACAGACATTTAAATATTGTCATTATTAAACATTTATAATAATATTATTATAATATAAATAAGTTCCAGGAAGAAAGCAGGGGTAAGTAATGCCTCTTGAATGAAAAGACATATTTAGGTTGTGTGGCTTGCCAAGACTAATTGATTAAAACATGGATGTGGCCAAATTGACATCAAAACAGGGAAAAAATAACTGCACTACTCCCAGCCATGGCCAATTAGACATTCCCAAGAAGTATAGAAAAGTGGCATGAATATCTGAACAGATGAGGCTGTACAGTATAAAGTCTGTTTCCCCCAAAATTGATCAGGCACAGGCACAGAAAGATTACACCCACATACCCACATAACAGAGACATTTAACAGGGCATTTGCAAATAGGAAAAAGGGTATCTTTTAAAATATTAACTGATCAAACCACTCTATTTCCAAATTTTAACTGAATATAAAGTTCACCCACAAGCCTAAAAGTCAAACTATCTTGTATATTTTTATATGTCAATATTTTTAATGCAAGGACAATTTTTTACAGTAAAACAAGATAAATCCTGTATCATCTACCGCAGTAATCTAATTAACTATTTCAGTTGACTTACATTATATAAATAAAGGTTCTTTAAAATGTAGATTATTTGTAGAAACATTAAAGCCTTCTACAGATCAGTTTAGTTCCACATCTTTTTTTGATAATTTTATTTCTGAGATATAAACAAATATGCCTGCAGTCAAAATAACCAGTTACATACAGTGTTGATCTTAGACTGGGAACAAATCTGTGATTGATGATGATGATGCATAAAAAGCTAGTTTTGCTATTGTTAAAAGTTACTACACAACAAGAATTGTCTGTGTGAATGAGAATTTGTAGGCATGTGGATGAATGGTCTGTTTTTTTTCTATTTATCTAATATTACCATAAATAAGTTTATAATAAATGCATTTTGCCTTAAGAATTATATTTCAAAAAAATATTAAACCAAAGATAGAATAGAATAGAATAGAATTGTTTATTGGCCAAATATGGTTGGACACAAGAGGGTAGAAAGCTATATAATTGAAACAGCAACAAATCTTTTTTTGTCATATGCTAGCATAATGTAATTAAAATACAAATTGTCACTATTTTAGAAAAAATAGGACTGAAATAATGGTGAAAACTCACCTGAGCTTCAGTCTCTAATTGTTGAATTAATGACAATGTTTTAACTGCAGTAAAACATACCTGTAATTCAAAACTCAGTTTAATTTATGAGAAAATTATGGTTCAGAATACTCATAGAATATCTGATCAAAATGTAAAAGATTCCTTACTGACTGAAAAATCTGAGTACCCTTCACAGGTTGATGCAAAATATAATTTCCAAGAGTAGCATCCAACTCAATAATATCAGATGGGTTTATCAAAATAAGAAACCGGAAAACAGCGCAACCTTGGCTAGATTCTGTAAGGCCAGATATAAATAAATGTTAAAATTTGCCTATTTACTGTTTTAAGCTAAGTAATTCTGATTGCTTAATAATAATTTTAGGCAAATACCATTACCATATGATTTGCAGTCATTAACAAATTTCTGAAGACCACCACTCCTGTCAAGATAAATTAAAGCAGCTTCTTTCATTTTCAGAAGATCCAACTTCATTTGCTCTAATCTTGTTTCTCTACCCAATCCTTAGATTACAAGTGTATGTTGCTGTGAAGAATCAAAAATTAAATGTGCAATAAAAAGGAAATTAGCAAACTGTATTAGAATAATAAAACACCACATCTTGCTATAAGCTCTTGCTTAAGCTCTAAAGAAAATTGGAGTACTGAACAGCTAAATATCATATATATTTTCAATACAGTTACCGGTATATAATAATGGAAATGAAACCACCTTTACTCCTTATGAAGTTTCTAATAAAACTAAAATAAATAATGTAATTCACTTAACCACAGCATAAAAGATCATAAAATTGTGACTGACTTAATGGCTTTGTTTAGCAATGGATGGTCCGGTCCCAATTATGATCATACAATGATGACTACCTATAATACTGACATTATTGTAACATCAGGAACTAGCTATTATTTTTACAACCTATAACAGCATTCTAGTTTCTATGGAAGTAATTTCTTGTCATGCTCCCCAACAACTTGCTCCTGAACTCAAATTCAATATTTCCGTTATATATTCAAGATGGACAGTGATTAATATTTATATGTTACTTATATGTAAGGGTGTAGGTTTATACATATGTTGTATATGTATGTTTAAATGTGTGTTATGTATATGTACACTTTGAAAACAAGCAACTAAATTTCATTTTTAATGTGTGCCATTGTGCCCACAGTAAAAAATGACAATAAAGGTTATCTATCTAATGTTTAATTTCTATTAAATTCAAAACCAGCCAGAACCTTTTGGATGGCCACCACAAACTATTAAGTGTTGCTGTCATCAAAGAGAAACTTTTTTTTGTTGGAAGACAGAAAAAATATTATTATCTAGAAATTACTATTGTACAAATAAGGCCTTTCAGCCATGTTATATTTTAAGTTGCTCCTCTCAGAAGATGGGATTGTGCAAGAAATGGTATTACATATAATTGCTGAAAACATCTACGTATGTACTGCAATCATTCAAAATTAAATATGTTACTTGTGTAGTGAATTAAACTTGGTATTATTTACTCTTAGTTTCAATTGTGAAGGTCAGTGTGATTTAACTGATTCATTTTAAAACTGAAGATTGAATAAATTGTGAAAATATAACAATAATCAGTTTGAATTATATTATGTGTATCGAGAGATATAAAGTGTGAAATTGTCTGGGCTAGTAATCTTTTTGAATGGAAAGGCTTTCAGCTGATAGTGTGAATGCTAAAGATGAAAAGGCTTGTAACATGCAGCACCTGAAACAGACAATGATGTGGAAAAAAATATTGCATAGCTTTACAGTACTAATGATATTTGTCAAGTGAGAATGTACCTAAATACAGATAGTCCTCAACTTACGACCATAATTGAGACCAGAACTTCCTTTGCTAAGCAAAGTGGCTTTTAAGTCAGTCACAGCCAAATTCACAATAACAGTGGAGATGCTGCAATGGTCATAAGTGTGAGGAGTGGTTGTAAGTCATTTTTTTAAAAGTGTCATTGTAACTTCAAACAGTTGCTAAAGGAATTACTGTAACTAGAGGACTACCTGTGGCAGCCTCAGATCAAGTTTATTTATAGATGCCTTCCCTCAAACCTGTGCCATGTGTGAAATGGGATTATAAGAGATTCATCAACTACTATAGCCAATTAACAGCTTGTATTTTGAAAAACTAAATGGATCTCAAAAGTGGTAGTTTAAAATGAGGTAAAGTGAAAGTTAAGCTAAACTCATTCTCTTAATTTAAAAAAAAATTCAAAAATCACCTCCAAACTATTGGGTAAGGTAAGGGAAACAATACTGCTTCTTGTGATGTGTTTATTTCTACTCATTAAAAAAAAATCCTGAACATGTGATAAAGATAAAGCTGAATGGATTTTGGAAAAGGACCCAGAAACCCCTTTAGATGATCATTCCAATGAATGATGTTGACATATTCCCTCATTCCTGTCATCTCTCTTTGGCCATGGATTATGGGATACTGTTGTTCAAACTGTAACTCTAATTAATAAACTTTCTGTATCTTCTCTTAAAGGTTTATGCCTGTTCTCTTTGGGCCTTCTTTCTGTTTCCCTCCTCTTTGTCATGTATTTCTACCACTGGCAAGGCTTTCATTCACCTTTTATTTGGCAGCAGCAGATCTTCCTCTCTTTCCTCTCTCCCTCAGAAAGACCAAAGCCCAATACCAGATTTCCAACTCACTGTGCTTGGTAATCCCATTGCCAGTCTCACAATGCTGTACAGCAATCTTGTGCTTGACAAGATTTTCAGCTTTGACAAATTCAGGCATAAGATTTACCTCAGATCAGTTAATTCAGGGTTTCTCAACTTTAGATGTGTGGACTTCAACATGCTGACTGGGGAATTCTGGGAATTGAAGTCCCCACAGCTTAAAGTGGCTCAGGCTGAGAAACATTGAGACTATTCATGAGATATTCATTGACATTAGCTACTGTTGCATTAATGCCACATTATAAGCAAACCTACAGAAAAAAAAGCAAATATTCCTAATGTACATAGCCAACTCATAGTAAACATGTTTAACTATTATGGGTTTGTTAACTTAACTGGCCTTTTATCTATTCACAACTATTGTTTCAGAAGCATTACCATGTGCTCAATATACTCTACCCCATTTTTAATACAAGATTTTAGAAAAGCAATGAATTACAAACTAAGTAGGAAATGTCAGGGGTTGACTACAAAAAAGGCAAATTCAGTTTAGGCTATATCAGTTCAAATCAATGATGATTTGACTTTATTCTATGTTGGTTAGACTCTATTATGAGCATTAGGCCTAGTTTAAAGTACCATATTTGAGAGATACTGGACTAAATTCAGAAAATGGCATAAAACAGCAGTCCTTAACACCTGGGCCATGGCCTGGTACCAGGCCATGCAAGTGGTGGGCGAGCACACGATTCCAGGGGGAAAAAAGCTGGGCATCATTAGCATACAGGCAATATCTAATCCCAAAGCCCCTGATTAATTCACTCAATGGATTAATATAGAAATTAAACAAGATTGACAGAATTGATACGTTTGGATACCATAGCTTAGTAGAAGTTTGTTGAAGTCACATTCTCATGCCAACTCTGGAGTATGGAATAGGACCATGAAAAATAATGCATCCTACTCCAACTCTATAGACAGTCATTTCAGCAGAATACTATGATTGATGGTGTGAGCATACTGATGGCACCCAACTCACAACTTTACTAAATTGCTTCATATACTTGCTAAGTGATTCAGAAGGATCAAAAACGTTATACTCACGTGATACTGATAATCTGTTGGATGATCAAGACAATTTTGCTACCCAAACCAGGCTACTAATACATTTGGAACTGATCCACATAATCTATATTCTCCAAGGTCTTATGAACTAGCTACTAGTTACTTCATTGGATAGTGGTTTGTGTGAGAAAACTGGATCTCATATGAGGTACATAACATTAAAATGAGCTGACTGAATTCTTTAAGAGCTAGGATTCCAATGAAGAATACTCTGGTGAAGATAAAAGTGGGCTTTGGGTTGGATATTTTGATTGTGTTTATATACACCATACATTATTTGGTTTGCTACAGTCAGACTGTTAATCAGTGTAATAATAGAGTATATACATCTTCTTGGTAAACATCTTCACAGGTTACCATTTCTTTAGTGTTATTCAAATCAGTTTTCCTAAAATAACACATCCTTCTTTTTATTATCTTAAATATATATATATATATATTTTTAAGATATGCTTACTTCCATTTTCTTAGTCAATATGAATTCTATTAATTAGTGGAAAAAATAAACAGTAACAATATTACAATTTATGTTGATTGTCTCAAATACCTTCATCTTTTTACTTTGAATGGGACAATTAAACTAAAGAAAAACTTGTTTATATTTTAAAGTGAAAATATTTTGTAAAGCAAAGATTTGATTTCTATTCAATCAATCTGTTAAAGCCAAGAAAAAATTATTCTCTATTCCAATTTTGCAAAGACACTGTTTTGAAACTCATTCCCTCATCCTTATACTGGGATACGTGTGCATGCATGTCCAAAAATGAACAAGTTATACTTTTAGTACATTATTTGGGAGCAAATTGTACAAGTGTTTGACATATAAAAAGAAACTGAAATTAAAATACATATAACAAGGAAATAAGATTTTTAATATAATCAAATTGTAATATATTAGCTTTCAACATAGAAGGAAGGAGTTTCACTTCTACAAATGGCAGTACAGTGATGTTTAAATTTTTATTTCTTGGGGAGAAATATAAGAAGGAGAAATGATTCTTGTGAGTGTGTTGTCATCAACAAATATTAAATGCTAATTTGCTCCAACATTATTTAACTTAGAAAATACATCCCTGTGTTTGGTAACTGGAATGAATCAAACACTTAAGTGGCAAATGACTTCATTTATATGCCCATCATGATTTACAATGGCACACATTTACATTAAACTGAGTGATACTGTATATATTATATCTTCTAGTTAGTAAAGTAGTATGATTATTGCCAGTTAAGTAAACAAATGGTAGTTAAGCTTATTTTTTAAACAGGAGTTTACCAAAATAATTGCATAGTAGTATTTCAAGCATAGAAGTTCAATATAATTACAAAGCCCATTAAATAGGTGTGCTGATCATAAAGAGAGCCAAATAGATAGGTTAATGTAAACTGAATGAAAAACAGCTATTATCTTTGTTTAAAAAAATTCAAGGTTAGGAACTTTTACTTAAATGCATTTTTAAAAATATTTTTGTGCAGCATGTTTAACAGTCTAAAAATGTAATGCAAAATGCCCATTATCCTCATAATACAGCAGAAAAAGTTTGTTCTTCAACAGATCAAATGAGGCACTTGTAGCATATATTTCAGAAACTGTTTATAATCATATAATTTCATTAGTCCTCTAGAGATAGCTTCCAATATTCCAATCTTCAGCTTAATGAAATAGGTCTTCAGAAGGTGGTGCATAAGAA